ATCACACCACAACCACAAATAAACACACGCGCTCACTGACAGATGAGCGGCCACCTCTGCCTGCCCACTAGGGGGCACTGAATGGCCCTGCCCTGGGAATTGACCCGCACCGTCACCCCCAGGAATCGCACCCAGGACTGGTTACTCGGAGGGGCCAGGAGAAGACCACCGCAATGGTCTCTAAGCCACGGCCGTGACCTGCCTGATGTGTACCTTTTTAGAAATTAAATTTGCCCCCCATAATGAGCACTATTAAGAGGGGATGTTTGCATAGAGTGCCTTAAACACTGCTTCCTGGTGATGGAGAGCTCCATGATGATGCTGTGAAATTATGCAATGTTTGCCTTTTTAAAATTAATGGAAGCTACTCTACTCTGGTTATTGTAATAAAACTGTTTAAGCTAAATTGAACAAAAGGCCAGAATTAGCATTCTGCATGAGGGAGAGACGGAAGGGGAATGCGGAGGCGATGGATGTAGCGTTAATATGTGCACCACTGAATATTCATGACCCTAGAGGGAAAAAATGCATCCCATTAGCACTTTGAATTATTAACATTCTTCCGGTTTATAAATATGCATGCACCCCTGTCCCCCGCCCCCTTTGTTAAGACTGAGGTGGGCCGCCCAGCTCATTGGCGATAGGACTCTGCACCTGGCCTGTAGAGTAAATGCTCAGAAATACTGCTCTCTGGTCACATGACCCCACGCAGCCCATTTCCATCAATAAGAGTACTCACATTTGGTGACCACGCCCTCCAGCCGGATGATGTTGGGGTGGTCGAACTGGCCCATGATGCTGGCCTCGCCCAGGAAGTCCCGCCTCTGTTGCTCCGAGTAGCCAGCCTTCAGGCTCTTGATGGCCACGCAGATCTCCCGTCTGCTAGGTAGCCGCAGCCGGCCGCTGCACACCTCCCCAAACTCGCCTGCGTGAGCGTAATCAGCCCAGTCAGCACCCCTCACAGGGTCCCTGCCCTGCCTTCTCTGAGGTCCCTGAGCAAATGATCCTGAAGCTCACCAGCCCCGATGACCCGCTCGATGCGAATGCTGGACACCTCAATCTCCTGGGCGAAATCACGGACGGCCTGGTTGGGATCCTCATACGTGTGGGGGTGTATGTAGGTCCTGCTGCCTGGGATCTGACCTTCATTTTGGGCACAGTGAATGGGGAGAGAGTAAAGGTTCATAGGGGATAGGCGTGAGGGCAGATGGAGCGGACTGATGATTTTTTCCAGTCCCTCAATGACATGAGCATATATGTTTGGTACTGTGGTTATTTTCTTGATTTCTCACATCACTTCCCATTACTAATGCTTTTTCATTATGTCAAGCTTGCCTATTGTGTTACCCAGGTGTGTCCCAATTACCTGTTATCCTACCCTGATTGCTCTCACCTGTGTTGTACCCTTTACATGTGAAGGTATAGCCCTGGCATTATGTGTGTGGCAATGGTCAATGTTACATTTGGTACATTTATACTGTCAGTCATATGTTTGTCAGTGTAGGTGATGTACTGTCAGTGTTACATTTCTTGGTGTAGGTGATGTACTGGCATTGTTACATTTGTTGGGGTAGGTGATATAGGTGCTGTACTATCACTGTTACATTTACATTTGTCAGTGTAGGTCATATACTATCAATATTGCATTTGTTGGTGTAGGTTATGTACTATCAGTGTTACATTTGTCAGTGTAGGTCATATACTATCAATATTGCATTTGTTGGTGTAGGTTATGTACTATCAGTGTTACATTTGTCAGTGTAGGTCATATACTATCAATATTACATTTGTTGGTGTAGGTTATGTACTATCAGTGTTACAGTTGCTGGTGTAGCTGATGTGCTGTCAGTGTCCTCTGTGTTCTCTCAGCTGTATTCATCTATCTTGTTTGTTGCTGAATAAAGCCATATCTGCATCTGGGCCTGGTCACAATGTGACACTTTACTATACAACACCACTCAAAAGTCTGGACACACCTGTTTTTAATGCATTTGTCTCTATTTTAGCTACGTTATTCCCTTTATAATAGAAGTCCGTCAGGTAATGAAGTAGTACATGTCAAATGCACCAGCAAAACAACCAAAAGAATTCCCCTCTTGCTTCGATGACAGCATTGCAGACTCTTGGCATTCTTCCAAGCAGCTTCCAGATGTAGCCACCTGGAAAGCTTCTCCACCAGTCCCGAAGGATTCTCCATAAGTTCTGGGCACAATTTGGCTACCTTGTTCTTACTCTTCACTCCAAGGCATCCCTAACCAGCTCTACTAGGTTTTCACAGCACTCCATCTCTTTCTTTCACAAGATAATACAGTACTAATACAGTACTTACATAACCTCGAGCTGTGCTTAGGCTCATTATCTTGTTGAAAAACCAGACCTTTGACTGGTGATATGTGTGATGAATGCTTTGTAGAGCCAGGTAGCGCAGAGTAACTAATGTAGTCTCACATAAGAAGTACAGTCTCCTTTCCCCAAAACCTGAACCTTGATATTTCGGTTCAGAACCTAGAGGAACCTTGAAAGTCCAACATACTGCCTGATGTTGGCCCGGCTGTCCTACCTCCCCCTGGCTGGCAGTGCATCTTGTCCTCCTCGGGATCCTGCTTTGCTTTGATGTAGCCGCAGTGCCTGAAACACATTAACATGCGGGTGTGTCTCTTGGATGTCATGGTGAGGGTCGGGGGGCTCATACACCCTAAACCCACAGGGCGTGTTGCCGAAATACCATAACAGCTGTGCAGTCTATGGTGTCCAGTTGATATGTAAAACATACTGGTCCCATTCCAGCTATTGGCCCTGGCTTGGCCTGCATGCATAGAGTCAGGATCCCCCTGTGTCACACTGCAAACATTAACATTTAGTGTTAAACTTTCCAACTGGACCAAAGTTCTAATGTCAGGGAAAATGGATTTCTGTGTCTCTGGCTAGTAAAAGCTCATGTTACTTTTATTTCTTTCGGTTTCTGCTGTGATGCACCCTGACAAGTAGCAGCATTATTAATGAGGGGTCAGAGATGAAACAGTGAAGCATTAAGCCCCGGCTGACTTTGAGCAGAAACGCAAGCTTTGCGGAGGCACACCTTGCTACAGAGGCTCTGCCAGCACATTTTCATGGGGTAGGTGCGAGCGTGCAAGTAGCGCTGGAATGCTAATGAGACAGAACCTGCTGACTTCTGTGGGATCATCATCAGTAACCAGAGAAGTGACCAATAATTCTGGCATCAAGGAACATACATATATGGACCAAGGCATCAAAACTAGCAGTAATATAGATTGTTTAATGGGAACTGACACAAGTACTGAGGCAGTCACTGAAATGGGCACCTATGTGGGTACCAAGACAGACAGTGTCAACATAGATGTCAACAGAGAGGCGCCCGTGGAGGCATCTTGAACCTGGCACTCGGGTGGGCACCGGCCCAACACACACCCACACCGTCCAATGGCCAATGGTGAGAAACATTCAGGTGTTACCATGGGGACCGGCGGTGCCATCTGTGCCCGCTTTCATTTATCACCTGGAGTGGGTGGTTCGCTGATCGAGGACCTGCCGTTACCACAGGGATCAGGGTGTCACCTGCCCCCCGCAGATCTTATTAGGATGAACATGCATTTGCACGGATCGGGGCTCGTCCCAGCAGGAGCATGTGTTAGTCAGGGGGGTGCACGGATACCCCTTTCACTTTCCTCTAGCTCCAACCGGCAGCCATTCCCTCCCCAGGAACCCGCTGGCATCTATCTGTCCCCTTCCTCTCCCCTTTTCACTCCTCACCTTCCTTTTCTCACCCACTGCACCCCCCTCCTGAAGTTCAGCATTACTATGTGGATTTAACTACTTGGTAATTCATTCCGGCAATATTTATGTTGTCAATGCTGATTGACTTATGGCTGTTGTTTCAGCCTCGACACAAATGAAATCCTGTAGATTCTGCTTATTAAACAGACACAGAGACACCATCCATCAATCCATCCATCCATCCCACTCCTCTACAAAAATAATCATTCTTTACACCAGGGTTTCCGGGCTGAATCTGCAGGATTGAGGAAGTTATGAACTATAGAGCAAGTTGGGCTAGAGCATTGCTCAGGTAGGTTCAGGTGTGTTTCTGTTCCCCACCAGCCCGGGGCCGGAATGGATCAGCCCAGGCACCAAACCAGCCTCCGATAAATATGCTTTCCAGGCAGTAAGCTGAGCAGATTTTCTACCTTTTAGTGTTTAACAAAAAAGTTGGCGTCTTTATGGGAGGGAAAATGGCTTTTAATTATGGATATTTTCATGTAGGATGTCTTCCCGTCCGGTAAGGAGGAAAGGAAAATAGATGAATTAACTGGGTCCTCCTGGCGCCGCTGAATTGGTGCCAGCGATGCCGTTTGGTGTAATTACACTGGTGCACAGGGGGACTAGGGCGATGACAACGTAATGGGGAAGATGGTCCACTTAGTTACGGGGGCAGCTGGTATAAGTGTTAAAGAGTGTTATCTGATTAAAGTGATGAGGGAGGGGGGGGGCAACCTTACATTGACATGGAGGAGAGACATGAGAAAGGGGTGCATGGGTCAAAGGTTAAAGGTCTGGGCTGTATTTGAGTGCCACTGACAGTGATAGCAACAGCGCCCCCGGAGCTCCAAGCCGGAACTGCATTTTGACGATTGGGCAGCAGGGATCATCCCGCAGTAAGTGGTGCATGGGAGCTGCGCCTGGGGGAGAGGAGCATGCACATGTGTAGAACTGCACTTGAGCACACGAGCCGCATGCCAAAGGACCCAGAGAACGGCTCAAAATATAAACATGAGAAATCTCCAATGGTGCTGGGGGGAGGAAATAAACAATTTTCGATTCCCCCCCACCTTCGTTCTTTCTGCGGCTCTCCGCTTTCCAAAATGGGAGGGGTAGCCCGCCCCCCTCCAGAGGCAGATTTACGGCTGCCTGGGTTATAATTCGCAGAGAAAATAATTACCCGGCGGATTAAATATACGGCCGTAAATTCCAGCCCCGTCGTCTCCCGGAGGTGTTTAAAGGCTTCGATTCGCCTCCGCGTTCATTATGGTAATTGAAGTCGGCATGGAGGCGGACGTCTCTGGAACAACGAGGCCCCCCCATTGCCTCCTTGGTAGCTTTTATTGCTGGCTATCCACAGTGACGGCTGGAAATCAGACGGAGACATGCCGGGCCAAACGTGAGCAGGAGCAGCGGGCCGAAACCCGACCAGGACTTTGAGGTGCCACCGAGACCAGCAGTCAGATCCTCGGCAGGCGTCTGAAGCCCTCTGAAGACAACGGAGACCGGCTCCAAGCCCGTCTGTGATACGCTATTTTTACCATGAAGCGCTGATACGTGTGGCGCTATTTCTGGCATCAATGCTAAACCCCCTCAGGCCGGGACGGGCATTCGGGCCTGTCCAGAAACATTCTCCTCATCCGACGCATCCGGCAGCATTGTGGGTGACATCTGGTCCTGGATCTTCTGGACATGTCTGACAGGTTTTGGCCACTTTGGTACCGTTTGCCGGAACATTGGAGGTACCGGGAAACTCTGCATAGGGCCATGTTGACCTGGGTTTGGCGTTGCCACCCTGCTCGCCCTCTGTAGCTTTTACCTCTTCAGCAGATATCGGGGGTGGGGCATCCACGGGAACAACTGGACACACCCCACAACTTTCTGTATGCCCAGATCAATATCGGGACTTTAACGTGACACCCAACAAAAGGCTTGAAACACATACGAGTATTGGCACATCAGGCTTTGTTTACAAAGGGAATGGTGGCATTATGCCCCAGAATGCCACTTGGGGGCAGCACTGGGGGCTGACATCAAGGGGGGGTTCCATTATAAGGGGGACTGAAAGCCAGAGGAAGAGGAAGACATGCCTGGATTTGTTAACGGCAACATGACGGGAGGCGTTTAAATGCCCCTCGCGGTAAGAGAGAGTGCCCCCTATGGGTTGGCGCCATATGCTTCAGATTATTCCCACCTACAAGTTCATTCCAGATGCCAGCACCGCTTCAAGGCTGAGCTGCCAAGCGACAAGCATGGTGTCACTGCCCCCCCATCCCCCCCCCTCCCCGGTAGCATGGCCCTCTTCTATGCTGGGGGGGTGGGGTGGTGTATAGCGCTCATCTTTATGCCTTCGTGGAAACAGCGCACACCATGAAGGGTCTGAAATACCACCGTTTTTAAAAATAAATGAATCATTTTCAACATCATTTGTGAAAACGATTTTGAAAAGTGCTCCCTGAAATAGCTTTTGAGTCTCTTCTGGTGGGTCAGGCTGAGCAGCTTGGCATACGCTATTACTATCCCACCAGTGTAATGAATAAGAACTCTGCATAATTGTAATGAATAAGAACTCTGCATATAGAACAGGCTGGGATTTGAACCAACAGCCAGCTGATCTTTAAAATGGACTGAGCCATGCTGATGTAGGGGGAGGGCAATAAAACACAGGACTGTGCAGATCGATAGGCTTAAAACACAGGACTGCACAGACTGATGGGCTTAAAACATAGGACTGCTCAGATCGATGAGCTTAAAACACAAGACTGCACAGATTGATGGGCTTAAACACAGGACTGCATGGATCGATGGGCTTAAAACACAGGACTGCTTGGATTGATGGGCTTAAAACACAGGATTGCACAGACTGAGGGGCTTAAAACACAAGACTGCGCAAACTGATGGGCTTAAAACACAGGACTACATGGACTGATGGACTTAAAACACAGGACTGCGCAGATCAATGGGCTTAAAACACAGGACTGCACGGATTGATAGGCTTAAAACACAGGATTGCACAGACTGAGGGGCTTAAAACACAGGACTGTGCAGATCGATGGGCTTCAAACACAGGACTGCACGGATTGATGGGCTTACAACACAGGACTGCACAGATCGATGGGCTTAAAACAGAAGACTGTGCATACTGTTGGGCTTAAAACATAGGATTGCACAGACTGAGGGGCGTAAAACACAGGACCGCATGGACTGACGGACTTAAAACACAGGACTGCGCAGATCGATGGGCTTAAAATACAGGACTGCGCAGACTGATGGTCTTAAAACACAGGACTGCACAGATCGATGGGCTTAAAATACAGGACTGTGCAGACCAATGACCTTAAAACACAAGACTGCACTGACCAATGACCTTAAAACACAGGACTGCACTGACAATGGCTGGCTGCCACTGCGAGCCGTGTGCCATTCCTGATTAACACCAGCCATTCAGGATCCTCCGCTCCGGTTTGTTTTTCCACTTGGCGGCTCCCAGCTGGGGAAGGCACTTCGGGAACGCTGACCCAGAAACGTCATGGTCTGAAGTGCCAGGGCATCGTTTGATACAGTGACTGACTAGGTGCTGCCAGTTGCTAGTGGACAGCGAGCAATGAGGCCACTGCTATTCAGTGGCCAGCGTGTTAAATGTTCGCTGTTGGTACAGAGTGAGCTGAGGCTCCATTTAGGTGTTTAGGTGGCGCAATAACTAAGGAACCTGGAATTTAAATCTTGTGGTTTCTTGGGTCACATCTCTGAACAGGCAGTACTGGTATATGTCTGATTTGCTCATAGCGATGCTGGTCTGTGGCTAATTGCCAGTAATTGCTGTAATTAGTTAATTGGAAAGAGGAACTTGCTGACCAGTGGTCAGTATCTTTCCTTTCCGAGTCCATTACCTCTATCCACACTCTCTCTCTCTCACTCACTCTTTCTATCTCACTTACCCTCTGACCCCCCTCCCCATCCCATCTCTTTGTGCCACTAATTTCACCCCCATCCCTGCGCAAGCCCCCCCCGCTGTGTCTCCTTTGATCTGTGGAGAAGGCATGGCTGGGTGCTACTCCGCGGAGCCCTTTCATGTTGTCCGTGCCGAGCTCACACATGCACTCAACGCCATTCTATCCTCTTTCCTCTCATGCCCCTCCTACACCTCCCTCCCACCCCCGCACACACCTGCCAGCTTTGCCTCATCTCCTGTGCCCACTCTCTCATGTGATGCTCTGACACTGGAGATGTCAGTGGCAGCTGTCTGTGTGTGTGTGTGTGTGTGTGTGTGTGTGTCTGCACTGCGTCTGTGTCCCTGTGCGTCAGTAGCGTGTCTTTCTGCGTGTCTGTCTGCGTGTCTGTGTCTGTCCGTGTTGAGTCTGCAGGCCCCGGCATGTCCCGCAGAGGCCGAGCGAATTGCAGAAGACGCAGCCACCCGTCAGCCCTTGCCAAGGCATATTCTGTCATGTGACCTTGAAGCATGGCACTACAGGCCTGCAAACGTGCACTAATCACTCTGCTGTTAATAACCACACTGCATGAGCTGCCACTGGGGATCAAACCAGTCTGTCAAAGAGGAATAGATCATATCACTGGGCCATCCATTCACGTGGATATTTTCGGCTCTCTCTCCCACTTATGACTTACTCAGGCAGCACTATTCAAGGCAGAAATGGGGGGGGGGTGCTCACCTGCCGCTGACAATGAAGCAGGTGACCAGGAGCACAAACAGCACGACTCCACCAGCGACGGACATGGCCAGAACACTGGTCTGCCCAGGGTCTCCGATGGCCAGCACGTCTGTGGAGGGGGGTAGGGGGACAGTGTGAGAATGGGTGTGAACAGACAGCGGAGAAAATCCCAGGAGGTCCCAGCTCTTGTACCCTGAAATTCCCCGGGGGGGGGCAGCTGTTACTGCCTGAAGATCCCTGGGGGGGCAGCTGTTACTGCCTGAAAATCCCAGGGGGGGCAGCTGTTACTGCCTGAAAATCCCAGGGAGGGGTCAGCCACTGTACCCTGTAAATCCATGGAAGGATACGGCTGTTATACCGTGAAAACTCCAAGGAGAGGCTGACGGTTATAACCTAAAAATCCCAGGGAGGGGGCAGTTTTGCCATAAACCCCCACGGAAATATTCAGCTTTGAAAATCTAACTCCAAGCTATAGGAAAGCGTCTCCTAAGCAACTGCATAATCCTGCATCCCGTGCCGGCATTCGGCAGGAAAGCTGGTATTGGTAACCACAGGTAACAGGAGGGAGTACGTTAACTACAATCAACCCCCCCTCACCACTTCAACCAGTACTCATCAGACAGAGTTTGGGCTCCAACAGCTTTCAAAGACTTCCAGTGGCCAAGCAAGGCTGAGTGATGAAAACATTTCTACAGATGAAATCAGTATTTAAATTGGCATTTGTGGGTAAAAAAAAAAAAAAGTCCTCTTTTTTGGCCATTAAACGTGGCATTTTTTACATTTCTTATCGAGGCCATGCAAATTGGCGCCGGAGCGAAATCCTTTCTGAGGGCCTCTTTTGTTGGAAATAAATGACTAGCTGGTCGGCCGCTCTCAAAATCCCCCCGCAGTGCCAGCGAGCGGGGGCTCCCGAGCGTAAATGACAGAAACAGAGGATAACAAACAGGCTAAACAAGCGGAGCCATTACTAGGCTGTCTCCTGGTACAACTGGGCACAGCCGCTGGTGTGCGGGGGGAGAGTGTTGGTTTGAAAGCTTCCTGTGGAGCTTGGGAGGGTCAACAGATACATGCAGGGGATTCGCAGGTAGACAGTAGCTGTATGCCCTCTCATTTTTAAGCAAGTGATTCACTTCCTAATGAGACACTTCGCTGATTACTCAGGCTGTGTGTCATTGGTGAGAGACAGAGGAACTGGGGGGGGGGAGAGGAGAGGGCAACAGGGGGCATCAAGGGGCCTCACCCTCATGGCTGGTTTCCAGCTCGATCTCGCCCCCGTAGACGCCGTACCCCCCGTCGGTACGCGCCCGCACCCGGAACACGTAGGCGGTGCCCGGCTTCAACCCGTCCACAGTCATGATGTTGGACCGCGTCTTCAGGACGGTGTAGTTCTGCTCCCGCTGATTCTGAGGGGGAGGGAGAGTAGGAAGGTGAAGCAGCCGCTGTTATGCCCCATCCCAGTGGCTCTGAGGATTTGGACTCTGTGCATGTAACCGGAAGGTCGTTGGTTTAAATCCCAGGGTCAGCTGAGTGATATAATCAATAACCCTCATCCCCCATCTACTCAGGAACTGGCTGTCCCAGCTTTCTCAGAAAAGGTATGTCGCTTTGGATTAAAGCATCTGCTAAATAAATGAAATATGGGCGTATCAGGAGACAGCTTGGCAGAGAACAATGGATGGTCACGTCTGTGAGAAGACCCCAGGACCTGATGGAGTCTGGGGCAGGAGTGCTGACACCTCATGAGCTGGAGGAGAGCTGTGGAAATCCTGCCACTTCACAGGTTGGGCTTCCTTGGTGCCGCCTGTGTGCCTCTCTGTCGTCCTGCCATCTGTGCCCCTATTTCATCTCATCGCTTCCTACCAACATACGGGCTCCCAGAATGCAGAGTGAACGAGACGTACAGCTTCCCGCAATCCCGTGCCCGTCCCGGTTCCTGGGGTTGCTTGAGAGCGACAGTAACGGCTTTGTTCATCTATGCACTCGGTTTTTCAAAAAGCCGTCTTGATGGGAATCCGCTGTGGTAGGCCGTTCCCCCAATCCGTCACGTCGGCCACAAAGTCAGCTTTTTATCCAGTGGCTCTCATGAAGCTCTAATTAAGTGGGAATGTCCCAGGGCAATTTCCACAAGCTAATCTTGAAGTTCTGCTGGAGCATTTTGAGGAAAGGTGAAGGGTTCAAACAATGTTCACTGAGGGCTTTGTGGACCTGTGAAGTACCGCCGATCATCCTCCAAAAGAAGCACTGCTATATTATTATTATTTATGTGCTACTGTCACAAAAAATCGCATGCTCAGTTCACTAATTCTTTCCTAATTGTCCCTTAATAATGTCAAGTTATCGGTTAAAGGGGGATTAAGCTACCAGGAAGGGTTTTGGTGAAGATCAGTCTGTTATATTAGACATTCACCTGGGGGATTTCTGTCCCCTGCCTTTGTCCTAGATTTCCAGTAGCTTCCATGACAAACCTTTGAGAGATGGCAGTGGAAAATGAGATCACGTGTTTGGGTCTGTGTGAGCCAGCAGAGGAGAAATCCCCGGCGCTGAAGACCCGGTTAATGCATGGTCAGGGCTGAGAGCCGGGCTTGCGATCTTACCTTCTCGTAGTAGACGACCTCGTAGTCCAAGACGGTTCCAAGAGCGCGGTCAGGCTCCTGCCAAGCCAGGGTGACACTGTCTCTGCTTCTCCTCTCCTTGAGGACCACGCTCACTGTGGGGGTGGAGAGCGAGACTCATTGGGGCTGATTACAGCTGCGAAGGGTGGGGGCTTCATCTGACTTTCTAATTAAAAGGCAGAGGGAGTGGGTTAGGTGCTCTAGTGGGGGCCAGCGTCTCGGGAGTACGGGGAGGGGGGGAAGCTGCAGTGAATTAGCTTTCCATCACACCCCACCCCCTCTTCTAAGAGCTGCCTGGATTCAGGATCGCTGTCGCCGGGTCATGATGCTGATGGAGGGGACACACGCACGCACATGGGCACACACCCCACACCAAGGTTGCCAAGGTTACCCAGCGCATACGCCTGTGGGTTGCTGAGACTGATCCTCATGGGACCTATCGACGAGCACCCCATCACCCCGGTAACACTTCACCAAAAATAGACCCCTGTAAAAATCACTCGGACCCTGAATCTGAACCAGCTCTCTCATCTCTCAGCCTTCTTAAAGCCCAGTGCACCCTGGGTAAAGACCTTTTCACACAAGGAAAAAAATCAGTATGTACTCAAAAGGATTCATGATATATAGATTCCACTTCTCACTGAGTGTGAATTCAGCTAAAACATGTCAAGGAAGACAGTCAAGTGACTGTTTTTGTCTTACACACCTTGCTGTTTTGAGTGCCACTATTCAAATACCTGGGAAACTGGGCAGGGTCCCTCTGTGGGGACTGATGATCCTTAACAACCACGCCACCTACAGGCCAGGGGACTGTAGTACAAACATAAAGAATCCGGGGTAAACTGCATGCGCACAGGGAAAACGCAGATTGCGATGGTTCAGTTTATTCCGCTTCCCCCAGAAAAGACACAAAGCTCTCGGAAAACACCGGAAGCCTTTGGAGTTAAGGCGACTCTCAGGATTCACCAGAGAGAATGAGGCACGTGCCCGTGCCCTGTGCCCACCTGCAGCCCACACATACCAGCGGTGGACAGCAGTCCCGATTGTGGCACTGGTCGGAGGCGGCAGCCCGTGTTGATGGTGAGCCAGCAAGTTGCTGCCATTGAGCCCAGCCAGCTGAACTCCCCGTGTGAATCGGACGCGGAAAAAGCCGCTTCGCCCAGCGTGTGTTATAGCTACAAAGGCATCAGCAGCTGCTGCTTTGAAACAAATTCGCTTGCGGCTGCCCAGATTTGATCCCCGGTGCCGGGGTGGGTGGAGGTGTCTGTTCCAGCCCCCCACCTTTCTGCCGGGTGGTGACATTTACGGACACCATCCTTCGGGGCCCAGGGCTCAGGTCCGAGATGCCGTTGAGCGCTTCCACGCTGAAGGTGTAGTTGGTGCGCGGAAGGAGGTCGGTGACCAGCACGCGGGGTGATGTCAGCTCCAACTGGCGTGGGAGGAAGTGGGGTCCCCCGGCAATGCCCCCACAGGGCAGGCATGCGCCCCCGCTGCCTGGGCACCAGCTGCAGTGCACATTGTAGGTGACGTCGGAGCGCCCCCCGCTGTCCTGCGGAGCCGTCCACTCCAGAGCAACCGACGTCTCATTCACGGTGGAGACCAGGCTCTCAGGGGCTGAGGGGGGTCCTGCATCAGCCGCCGGCATGGAAGAAAGGGCAGAAAGGAAGAGAAGAGGGGCAAGAAAAGAAGAGGGGGAAGGAAAGCAGAGGGGCAAGAAAAGAAGAGGGGGAAGGAAAGCAGTGGGGCAACAAAAGAAGAGGGGGAAGGAAAGAAGAGGGGCAAGAAAATAAGAGGGGGAAGGAAAGCAGAGGGGCAACAAAAGAAGAGGGAGAAGGAAAGAAGAGGGGCAAGAAAAGCAGAGGGGGAAGGAAAGCAGTGGGGCAAGATAAGAAGAGGGGGAAGGAAAGCAGAGGGGCAAGAAAAGAAGAGTGGGAAGGAAAGAAGGACAAATCGTCACATCATCAGTCACTACCCACTTGGGGGTGTCTCTATAAACGCTCTTTTGCACATTATTTATTCTTATCTATTTTGTTTTGTTCTGTATTGCATAATTTCTTCTGCACAATCCATTTCACTACACAGTAATACAGTGTGTTTGTGTATGTGACAAATAAAGACTGAAACATGTAACAGCGTATCAGTGACAGACACTCGCTCGCCATCTATCAGTCGTTTGTCTCGCGTGCAGACTGGCCAGACCACTATAGCCATAGTGGATATCCTCCTACATCACGGATGGCCAGTGCCATCACCGGGAAGGTCTGGATTGCCCCTGGGTGAGACGTGAGCCTCGCCGATGGGAGCCCAAGAGCCGGCCACACATGCGTCAGTGAGGAGCTGTGATTTATGCCTGCCGTCAGCATGATTAAATTAGCTGCTCGTAGCTGCCGGGCTGCGTAAACAAGTGCCTTGCCAAAGTGCCGTCAGTTTCGGGGCTCAGTTGTTTAAGATAAATCTTGGCTGAAAAAAGAGAGCTTTAGTTCATAAGATTTTCTAAGAACTTAAGCCTCACAATGATCCTGCCTTCGCTCCAGTCACATGACTGAACAGGAACAGGTGCTATCCTCCTTATTGTTGCCTATCTTTTATGGGTCTACCCCAATAAACCAGAGAATTCAAGGACCCCAAAGTGGCGGCTAAGCTTACGGGTGCAGGCCATGGAGCGGGGGTCCGTCTCGGCCCGGTGAAAGCCCTCCAGACAGGGGCACTCGGCAGCCCGCTCCTGGGGGGAGTGGCTGTGCGGGGGGCACTTGGAGCAGAGGGCATCCAGGGACGAGGCCTTGTAGAAGCCGGACCTGCAGGCTGGGAGGTGCGAGGGAGACAAAGAGATTGGCCAGGTCAGTCCTGGAGTGAGAGGGAGGGGAGAGACGGATACAGGCTGCATGGCAATCCCAACACAGGCAGGCACTCAAGGAAGGGGGTACAGTGAGAGGCCGCTGACGGATGGTCGCCAATGCAGACAGAATCACAAGTATGACGCGATTATCGGCATGCTCCGGAGATCCATGCTGACTGCTTCGCAGTAAGCGCAACAACATTGCCGTACAGGGGGTACCAAGGAAAATCCCTACAGGCCATCCTCCCAGAAGGGCAGGGTATCTCCTCCGGGAAATCCCCAAACTTTCCAAAAAGACAGGACTTCATCCACCATGGTGTGTGTAGGTTAGGGCTGCCCCCTTTGATGTGTGAAAAAGTAGGACGCTCAGTGATACCTCAGAACTCGAACTTAATCCGTTCAGAACTCCAGATCGAAGCCTAAAAAGTTCGAGTTCTGATCGAATTTTCCCCATAAGAAATAATGGAAAACCAATTACCAATTGGTTCCCGGCCCCAAAAAATTACACATAAACATGTTTTTTTTAGCATTTAAACACAAAATGAACCAGATGAAACAAGAAGAGCATATACTGTACTAAACACATCTAAGCACATTTATCAAAACAGTAATTTTTAAAGTAAGAAAATAAATGTATTCAAACAATGTGTCCTGCTCCGACCGTCCGCTCCTTCCGTGTGCCACGCTCCCTCGTTAACCCCGTGTGGAATACCCGTGTGATCAGCTGTTTCTGGTTGTTGTCATTAGTCCTCTGCATTTCGTCCTCATTTCAGTTTGTTTCCCCAGTCCGGTCATTGTATTGTCCGTCTGCGTTTTGCCTGCCTTACCTGTAATTAAACCCCGTATTCCCCGATACTCTGACATCTGAGCCTTTCTCTCCGCTCCGTCAGCGCCCAGCACAACAATATTATTATAATTAAATGTATTAATGGTTTATTATTAATATTAAAATTATTAATAAGAAATCTTTATTTTAAAATGTATTTTATTATATAATAATTACTGTTACTGTCTTTCATTGTCTAAATGTATTTTTACTGTCTAAATATATGTATTCAGTTAGTGTAAACATGCACGATGCTATTACAGTGAATGCGAGGCTGAGACTGTTTCCGCTGAGAGACGTGCCGCGTGACTCATTTCCCTGCGCGTACAAGTTATCTTAGGTCGGCGTTCACGGTTTGACTTCTGAGATTCAGATCAAGTCTAGATAATTTTTTTTCGAACTGGTTGGTTCGACTTTTAAGAAATTCAAGTTATAATGAGTTCGAGAACTGAGGTACCACTGTATATGTGAATATCCTATGTTAGGACTTTCTATTGCCTATACTGGGGGCAGCATGTGACTCAGCCGGTTCAAGCCTGGCTTTGGTTCATCTACAGTATACACAAGGCACATCCTTGCAAGGCACCTAACCCCCAGCTCCCTGGTGCCCCTATGGGTGGCTGCCCTTTGCGGCCAGCTTGATCTCACCTACAGAGAGCAAGCTGGGGGAGGTGTAAAGAGAATTTCTCCACAGACATCAATAAATATCAATTACCTTTTTGTCCTGACGCACTCCATGACACAGATTCTCTCCCTGATGCATTATAAACCGCTTTTTAACTTAATGCATTTGGGCAGCCTGACACTGACATTTCTTTCCTCCTCTTCCATTTCTCACTCCTCTATGCTGCCTGCAGACATCCCTGCTGTCCCTCAGTGAAAGCTTTAACCTCCAAGCATGATCATCTGACATTTAATCTGACTTGAAGTTCTGCTTCAACCAAAAGTTGCAATGGGTAGATTTGCATTTGCTTAATACAAAATTCTGGTGCATCTTTGTTTTCGCGTGATTTTCCAGCACTGATTCTCCTTTATATTTAACTGAAATTTTGGCTGGTCTCTTTGGCTGGGCGTTCAGAAAAGTTTTCTGTTTTCTCCCAGTCTGAGCAGTACGGTGTAAATCACTTTTTCTCTGATGCCAGTGACTCGTCTGATTTTGTTTTGTCGCCCTCCTTGTCTGTATCTCTCCGCTTTTCACAAAACAAATAGAAAGTCTTTATAAGTTAGTATTTCCTCTAGCCAGCAGCTGCAGTCACAGTGGGTCGCGGATGTGGATGCGTGCGGCAGACCGGCAGCCTGGGCAGTTGCTATGCGATAAGGAAAGCTTCATATTTCTGCCACCAATCAAATAAAGAACCGCCATGGCCAATGGTCGCTGTCTTTTAGCAGTAAGGATAAAAGACCATCAGAACACGTACCAACAGACTCTAAATATAAGCATAATCCACACACACACACAAACACACACACACAGACCTGTAATTATATCTTTGTGGGGGCCGCTCATTCATGTCAATGGAAAAAATACTAACGCTAACTATGACAACCTTAACCCCTACCCAGCCCTAACCATAACCGGACAGTAACCAAACAAAATACAAGACTTGTTGTTGCATTTTTAGTTTTTCGATTGCAGTCACAGATTTTTAGAAAATTGGGTTTTCCCTTTTGGGGAAAAAGAAACTTCTCCCCATAAGGTCAAAAAAACTGATATTCATCACATTATGGGGATATTTGGTCCCCACAAGGTAAGTTATACCTGAACCACATACACACACACACACACACTCTACACATACAAACAAATCAGCTGTATTACCCATCTCCCCCCCCACCCCCGCGAAACTGCTGCTAACGCATTGATCTCTTTACATCTAGGATTGTAACTACAATAATTATAATATTATAACATGTGCAATGCCTGTATACAAAGCATACCTGTTTACACTCTTTACCTGTTTTACACTGCTTGAATACAATTATTATAATGTGTGCAACATCTGTTTACAGTACAATGTTTTCTTTTTTACTTTTGTATTTTACACTGTAATTTTATCTTGGATTTTATATTTTGTATCGTCTGTTCTCTCTGAGAGCTACCAAAGTCTCATTGAATAACTACAATGACAGTAAAGTCTCATCTATCTATCTATCTATCTATCTATCTATCTATAACCATCTATGGACACATCGATGGATGTGTAAACATAACCAGGAAGAAAATAGCATCGCAGTAGAAGAACAATCATGTGATGTTTGATTTGAAAAGAGAACAATCCCGGGAAACTGGGATGGGTGGTAGCCCTGATTCAGGTCCGGGGGCCACATTACTTGTTAGACTGAAGCCGTAGCTGTACTGCTGGAGCTTTTGAGCCGTATGTGATGTATTAAATCTAGTCAAGAATAAGAGCCTTGGAGTCCTTCAAGGTCTGGCCTGAATTCCTCTATTCCCCGCTAATGATGCCCTAATGTGCGATAAACATGCCCAGTTCCGAGCTCATCCAGCCAGGAAGTATGTTCCCAACACATAACCGCCGACACCTGCCATAGTGAACACCCCCCTTACTGAACCATTGTTTATTATAATCGTTCCGTGTTTTTTTTTTTTTTCTTTGCCAGGGCAACTTAAATGGTCGATACGTTCACCCTCTGCCAATTGACACTGCTGCATATTTTACCAAAACGATTGAGGCTGTGAGTGAATCTCCCACAGGGTCTGGAAGAGGGGAGGTCCAGCTCAATTTGCAGTCTGCCACATTATAACAACGTAGATGGGGGTTGGAGGGATTCCCAGCACTGCCCAGGAGAAGGATAGACTCCCAGGCATGTTTAATCGATAGTGGAAAGCGTCCCTCTGGAAAGGGAGGGCTGTCAGGCCCAACGAACTGGTTCGCTCTCAGAATCCCACCCGGGGCTTTCGGTGTACTATCGTGCAGCACATCGATCCTGGCAGCAAATTAGCAGACTGAGAAAATAACAGCTAAATAAAAACACATCTCTAAGCGATTTGCCGGGGACGCCATATTAAATATTAACAAACTCCTCGGCGGGCTCGATTGTTTGGAGCAATCGATAGCTTTTAGGTTTTAGAGTCATGAGCAGCTGGGGGGGGAAGTGGGGGTGGTGGTGACGGTGCCCGCAGTCCTCAAGCACTTCTGGGGAGATTCTAAGGTGCTGCTCTGCATTTTTTCAGGCTGGGTCTTCACCTGAACGGCAGGAAATAATGCCG